TGCAATGAGGACATAGCAACGGCAGCATTTAGAAATGGGCTTCTGACTGAACATCCTTTATTCGAAAAACTAATAATGGGAGAATAACTAACCCTAGCAGCTTCGTATGCTTTGGCAGAAAAGCATGCATTATGGGATGAGGCCAAACAGTCTAACAAAAAACGAGTTGGAAAAGAAGCACATGGAACGTTCCTCGACCAAAGAAGACTCAGGGCCTGAAATATTCACCAAGTTCACAGTTCCAATCGGCCAAATTCTCCGCAAGCTCAAGAACGAACCTTGGTTCGAACTGCCGCCACCGATCAAAGACGATCTTACCAGGCTGGATCATACAAAGTATTGCGCATTCCATCAAAGGACCAGGCCACACTACCAACGGCTGCCTAAAATGGAAGCAGTGCCTTGAGAAACTGACAAATGAGGGTCGATGCGATGAGTATCTTGATAGGTCAACGAAACAGCCTACACAAGCAGAGGAAGTCTCCATCACCCCTTGAACCCCGTTTGGGCTTTTCCAAATAAGTTCGAAGTCTCAAGCAGCTCGACGAACAAGGCCTCGCAAGCCAAAGATTATCCAGTTTGTTATACATTTTCTACCTTCCAGCACAGTTGATTTATTTCTTTATTCTCAATGAAGATTCAAGAAGTTACTCATAAGCCTGGCCCAATTGCTGTCCATAATAACTGCTAAAAACCCTTTTTGGGTCTGCTCTCCAGTGCGAGAGGGTAAACCAATTCCCCGACACCCAAAAAGGTCTGCTCTCATGTGCGAGAGGATAAACTAATTGCTCTCCAGTGCGAAAGGATAAACCAATTCCCTGACACCCATATGGGTTTGCTCTCCATTGCGAGAGGATAAACTAATTGCTCTTCAGCGTGAGAGGGTAAACTAATTCCCCGACACCCATCTGGGTAAGCTCTCCAGTGTGAGAAGGCCACATAGCTTAAAAGATCGAATGCTTGAAGATCAAATAGGCAACAAATGGTCAGGGGCAACAACCGCTTTTGAACTTAACAGTTCACTCATCCAACACTTCATCTTTAGCAGCTCTGATCTTAGCAGCTTTATCCTTGACTACTCCATCTAAGGCAGCTGAGAAATCAAACTTAAGCAGTTTCCTCATTTTTGGCAAGCAGCCCAGACATGGCAGCCTAAACCGTTGCCCATGCCACGCCACTTCCTCGGCCTATGCCGAGCTAATCCTTGGCTTCAATCAAGCCGAGTAGCATAAGCAATGACCTCTACCACACCACCTCCTTGGCCCATGACAAGCCAACTCCTGACCCTTGCCAGCTGACGTGCCGCATCACCCCAACGGCTGCCCCGTGGCAACACCTCCTAAGAAGAAGACAAGGAGAATTAAGTTTTCCTTACATCGGTGCGGCGCGGAGAAGACAGAGAAAGCAACGAAAGACGATCATTTGCACAGGAAAGTGTAAAAGATTGCTAGGGGAGGGGGAACAAATATCATCTAAGCTTTCTCTCTCTTGTAAGGTAGAATACATCGCTCTCCAAAGTTGATTTAACAACCCACTTAAGGTGGGCTTAAATAGGCTTTGAGAGAAATTTATTTCCCTTTCCTAGAATGATCTAATTTCATATTAAAGAGAGAATCTACATCAAAATATGAAGCAGTCCTAAAGCAAGAAGATCTCTACACCTGCTGCCCTTTCCTACAAGCAGCCCAGTAGGTGTGGGGGCATTTGTGGAGCAAAAAATAATCAAGAGGCGACATGTGGATTTTTAAGTGAAGAGGACAAAATTGCCCTCGAGACACACCGGGTTTCCTACACGCGAGCAGTAGAGAATCATCCATCAATTGAGTCAAGAGTGCCCAAAATAGGTAACAAGTTCAAATTTATCTCATCCATCTTTACTCCATATCCTCTACAAGGAAATCATTACATAACCTCCCAATATATTTCTTTTATTATGATAATTAGCCAATTAATATATTTATACCTAATTAATATATTAATTGCTAATTGAATCACCAAATAACACCCAAAAAAACACTTAAAGGCCAGCTACCTTTTCTCCAAAAGAGACCGGCCACACTCCCCTATAAAAGCCCTATTCTTTTCTCCAAAAGGGATTGCTCATACTCTTGCAAAACTCCCAAAAACTCTCCAAATACTTTTCTCTCTAAATTCTAACTTTGGCATCGAAGGTTCTTCGGCCAAAGCCCTCTCCAATTCATCATGGGCGCGTGAGGCTCTTGGCCTTGACCTAAGGTGTTAATTGTTTTGTAGGTGCAATCTTATCCAAGATCAAGGATGAAGAAATTTGCATCCATACATTCAAATTTTCAATAATGATCGAAAAGGCTCGATCTTTTACGTTAAACTCTTCTCTTAGTCCCAACGAGAAGGCAGAATCTCATAAATGTCAGAGGTGACCCTCTTTTGGTAGACATGTTTCATGAGCTGTTGTTCTCTTTTAGTAGCTGCAGTTTTCTGGTTTATTCAACATGTCAATAGTGATCACAGATTGTTAGTCCTAAAGTGAAAGAAAACAAAATTCAAAACCACCAAAAAATGTTTTTGGTGTGTGGTGTGGTGTGGGACCTAAAAAATTGAAGCGAAGAACAATAGGGCCGGAAAGAAAGAAACAGAAGTGAAGAAGTTGAGGTTCCACCATAAAACTAATTGGTAATATAGGGAGTGGCCCAACCTCTTATAAGCCTTTGCAAAGTCCTTCCTACCATCAATGTGGGACTCATTCTCAACACGCCCCCTTACATGTGGCTAATTTTCAAGCCTAACATGTGAACAACACAACGGGGTGACGTGGAGCAATGTGGGACTCATTCTCAACACACCCCCTCATGTGTGGCGAATTTTCAAACCTAACACGTGGACAACACAACGGGGTGACGTGGAGCACGCGTAGCTGTTTGGCTTCACACGTAAGACAACTTGCTTTGATACCATGAAGAAAGTTGAGGTTCCACCATAAAACCGATTAGGAATATAGGAAGTAGCCCAACCTCTTATAAGCCTTTGCAAAGTTCCTACTCCCATCAATATGGGACTCATTCTCAACAAGAAGGTCCTTCTAATAACTTTCACAATAACACCAAAACCAGCAAAACTGCATAATTCGAGGGGTCCAAAGGTTTCATCATGCCTTTGTGCATACATATGACATCCTTAGGTATCAAACCTGACAGAATGCAGTAGCTAGGGCCCGAATGTTAAACCCTAAACCTAGCACGAAACCCACGAATGCCTTGGATTATGCCTCTTTAAGAGAATGCAGCATGGTCATTTTCGTTCCTTTTCAATCAAAGAATTCAACAATGAGAACTTACAACTTACCTAACAGAGCGGAAAGGTTAAATTGCATCGTATCACACCATTCATTTGCGATGTTCATGTGATGAATCAGGTGCGTGAATAGATTATACTCGAAACATTGAGATGCCTACTTCTTACTATAGAAATTCCTTTTCTTATAAAAGTAACCTTTTTGGTATGTAGTTTTGATCTTCACATTCAAAATGGGCACAGCCACAATGGGCAAGGCCATCATCAAAACACACCGCCCATTCATAAAAATTGCTTTTTATGGAATCTCCATGGTCGATTGGTTGCGTTTTTGCCCGTAGAAAGGGAAGATGCTACATTGGTCCGTTAAAGCTCTTCTCTGATTAGGTCTCAGTGAAAACTGAAGCATCTTAGGTCACCCTCACCATGGAGGGATGAAAGAAAATGAAAATTCAAGTAATTTTAAACCCCAATTTTTAAAAGTAATTTTAAACCCTCACCATGGTGATCACATATAAGATATTGATGCATGAAATCATGTGGTTTATTGTATTTGAACATAGTAAAATAGCAAACTAATACAGTTTAAGCCTTAACCTAATGATGATTAGAACAACATAAATGGTGCAATAATGTGCCAAATTTGAGCTGCCACAATATAATTAGTCAAAATGATTATATGTAAGTGGTCGTTCGGTCCAAGTTCCTCGTAGGTTGTTGGTTTTGTCGAACAACCAATAGTTATTAGGTCTTGGTTCAGTTGACATCGTATCAGTGAATTCGTTCCCAAAAATTGATTGTAATTGGGATATCACTACAAGTCTACAACAAAAGAGTGTAATAGTCACAAGCAAGTTTTTTTTTATTTTTTTTTTATGACAAAAGATAGTGTTAGTGGGTTAATTAAATTGTTGAATATTAGAAGAAAGGTGGATCGGTGGGGATTGAACCACACCAAAGTGAATAAACATTATGGCTTTCCGTCACAAGCAAGTGCGGCTGTTGTTGAGATAACAGTTACTCAAAACGTGGCTACCATTTTTCTTGTAGAGAACGTAACTAAGGTTGTACAATTGAGGGCACATGAAAGGCTCAATTTCAAATTCGACACTTGAATAAAATAGCGTATGTGGCTGATATAGTAAATCTCGCGTCTTCATTGGAATCTCATTGTATAAAGTTTGTTCGCGCATGATTTCGCCAGTTTCTCTCAATGCCTTATGGTTGTAGTACTCAAACCAAATTTCTTTTATCTTCTTATTACTGAAAATAGAGAACCTCAACTTGTAGTGTGTATTCTTTAATCATTCTCCTACTATAAGGCGAGAGAAGAGAGAAACGATCGTGTCGCTACACACTATGTGATAGGTAAGCTAATGTCGATTTTGACATTAAGACGTGTATATTGGTTTTAAGAGACATAGGTTAGAACTCCTAAGGATTAAAAAAAAAAAAACCAGAAGTAAAATGCAGGCTATCAAGTCAGACACTGATGCCTGTCCAATCTCTCTTAAGTAGCATCGACATAAACCATTAGCCTTTTGTTTTATCTATTTAAGCCTTTTGTTTTGACATAGACAATATCGACCAGAAGTTTATTCTAAACTCGATCGGACCTTGAACATAACGTTTTGCGTTTAAACAAGGAAGGTCAACATCATTCGCTAATCAACAATGGTTCTTTTAAAGCTCGAAAATCGTCTATTATTTGCAAATCGATAACTAGAAAGATGGATTTGTCCAGCATGACCACACTTCTGTTGTTAATGCTGTTGCAGATCAACAATGCAGTATCGAATGTTGAGGAAATCCAGACGTACATCATTCACATGGATCATTCCCACAAACCCGAATCGTTCTTAACGCACGAAGCGTGGCACAAGTCCACCGTAAAGTCATTGTCGTCTTCGTCTCCTGCAGAAAACGGTGATGGCAGTGAAATGTTGCTGTACTCATACAGCCATGTCATGCATGGGTTCAGTGCAAGGCTCACTCCTTCTCAGTTGTCTAGATTGGAGAAATCCCCGGCTCATGTTGCCACGTATCCCGAGTCTTTTGGCAAGATGTTCACAACTCACAGCCCTAAGTTTCTTGGACTTAGGCAGAACCTCGGTCTATGGCCTAATGCCTCATTTGGCCAAGATGTGATCATAGGAATTATTGATACAGGAATTTGGCCAGAAAGTGAGAGTTTCAGCGATAAGGGAATGTCAGAGGTGCCATTAAGATGGAAAGGCGTGTGCGAGAATGGAACTGCATTCACCACGTCTCTTTGCAACAAGAAGCTCATTGGTGCTCGATCTTTCAGCAAAGGGCTCGAAGCTGCAGGCATACCGATTTCCAGACAATATGACTATGATTCGCCGAGAGACTTCTTCGGTCACGGAACACACACATCATCGACAGCTGCAGGCAACCATGTGCTCAGTGCAAGTCATTTCGGATATGCAAAGGGCACGGCAAGAGGGGTGGCGCCACGCGCCCACGTTGCCATGTACAAGGTCTTGTGGGCGACAGATTCAGAAGAGAGTGCAGCTAGTGATGTGCTTGCCGGGATGGATCAGGCGATTTCTGATGGTGTTGATATCATGTCACTGTCTCTTGGCTTCGACGTCTCTCCTTACTACAATGATATAATTGCCATCAGTTCTCTTTCAGCAGTTGAGAAGGGAATTGCTGTTGTATGTGCTGCTGGGAATGATGGTCCTTCTGATAACTCAACACATAATGGAGCACCCTGGATCACAACAGTAGGAGCTGGCACACTTGATCGTACTTTCACTGCAACATTGACTCTAGACAACGGCTACACAGTTGAAGGAGAATCATACTTCCCCGAAAGCGTTTACATTGCTGATAAACCGTTATACTACGGGAAAGACAGCGTTAGCAAATCAACGTGCAACTTTGGGGCATTAGATCACAAAGAAGTGGCTGGAAAAGTAGTCTTCTGTGATAATCCCCAGGGGGGTGACATTGATGGACAACTTGAAGAGGTAAAAAACGCAGGCGCTTACGCTGCAATCTTTGTGTCAGATATGCCAGATTTGTACGCTGAAGACTTCACCATTCCTGCTTTGGTTCTACCAATGGCGAAAGGCTCTTTAATTAAGGAGTATGCAACAAGAGCCAATACAACTAAAGTTAAAACCCTTACCTTTTTGCACACCAATTTGGGGACAAAACCGGCACCGGAAGTAGCGTCTTTCTCTTCAAGAGGACCTGACCCCATCACCCCAAGCATTCTAAAACCCGACATTCTTGCTCCCGGTGTTGATGTACTCGCTGCAGTTGCACCTAACAAGATGTTGATGGAAGTAAACAACTATAATTTGGCTTCAGACTATCAACTAATGTCAGGGACATCAATGGCAGCACCCCATGTTGCAGGAGTTGTAGCTCTCCTAAAGGCTGTTCACCGCGAATGGAGCCCTGCTGCCATTCGATCAGCGATCATGACCACAGCGTATAACCTCGACAACACTAGAACCACCATAAAAGACCAACGAGACGGTCTTGCTGCCACACCTTTACAATTCGGTGCAGGCCATATCAACCCGAACAGAGCCATGAATCCTGGACTCGTCTATGACATGGATGTGCAGGATTATATCGAGTTTCTATGTGGCCTCGGATACACTACCAAGCAGATGAGCGCTGTGATCCGACGAAATCAATGGAGTTGCAGGCAACAACCTACTGAGCTAAACTACCCTTCTTTTATAGCCATCTTCAACAGCACAGACAACTCTCCGAAAGCAAAAAACTTTACCAGGGTTGTGACAAATGTGGGAGATGATGCATCAAGTTACTTTGCATTCTTGGAGGTTCCTAAAGGAATGAAGATCGCAGTGGAGCCTAGCACTCTAACATTCACGGGACAGAATCAAGAACAAGGTTTCGTGTTGAGAGTAGAGATCGATAGCAACGCTCCGAAGGTGACGTATGGGTATCTGAAATGGATTGATCAACATAACCACATAGTATCAAGCCCGGTAGTGGTCGTAAATTACTAGTTTCAGACATCGTGATACCATCTGCATATTAACGTGCAGGATCCAAATATTACAAAATAAAAGGGAATGACAAAATAGAATACAGCGAATTACTGCAGTTACATTCAGATTTTCAATAATGATCTAAAAGGCTCGATCTTTTACGTTAAACTCTTCTCTTAGTCCCAACGAGAAGGCAGAATCTCATAAATGTCAGAGGTGACCCTCTTTTGGTAGACAGGTTTCATGAGCTGTTGTTCTCTTTTAGTAGCTGCAGTTTTCTGGTTTATTCGACATGTCAATAGTGATCACAGATTTTCAGTCCCAAAGTGAAAGAAAACAAAATTCAAACAACAACAACAACAAAGCCTTTTCCCACTAAGTGGGGTCGGCTATATGAATCCTAGAACGCCATTGCGCTCGGTTTTGTGTCATGCCCTCCGTTAGATCCAAGTACTCTAAGTCTTTTCTTAGAGTCTCTTCCAAAGTTTTCCTAGGTCTTCCTCTACCCCTTCGGCCCTGAACCTCTGTCCCGTAGTCACATCTTCGAACCGGAGCGTCAGTCGGCCTTCTTTGTACATGTCCAAATCACCAGAGCCGATTTTCTCTCATCTTTCCTACAATTTCGGCTACTCCTACTTTACCTCGGATATCCTCATTCCCAATCTTATCCTTTCTCGTGTGCCCACACATCCCACGAAGCATCCTCATCTCCGCTACACCCATTTTGTGTACGTGTTGATGCTTCACCACCCAACATTCTCTGCCGTCCTATAAAATTTTCCCTTGAGCTTCAGTGGCCTACGACGGTCACACAACACGCCGGATGCACTCTTTCCATCCAGCTCGTATTCTATGGTTGAGATCTCCATCTAATTCTCCGTTCTCTTGCAAGATAGATCCTAGGTAACGAAAACGGTCGCTTTTTGTGATCTTCGCTAGATTGCTCATGTCATTAGTGTGGATAAGTATATAAATGGATAGAGATAGGAAAGCAAACACAAGATGTACGTGGTTCACCCAGATTGGCTACGCCCACGGAATAGAAGAGTTCTCATTAATTGTGAAGGGTTTACACAAGTACATAGGTTCAAGCTCTCCTTTAGTGAGTACGAGTGAATGATTTAGTACAAATGACATTAGGAAAATATTGTGGGATAATGATCTCGAGTCGTCGTCTTGACTTGCCTTATCTGTCTCATAGTAGATAGATGTGGCATTTTCTCTGGAAGTACTCTTCCTCCATCCAGGGTGGTATCTTTAACTGGTGAGATGCACAAGGTAATGTATCAATTTCACTTGAAGCTTACTTGTAGTTTCAGGCTTGGTCAAGCACGATACAAACCATGTAGTAGGAGTCCCCCAAGTCGCCGAGCTAGGGGGTCTGCTGAAAGAGGTGACAGACAAGGTAAGCAATCAGAGCTCCGACTGATTGTTCACCTTCTCCCCATCTTGCAGCAGCATGAAGGATAAAGAGAAGAAAAATGAGAAGAGATGATATGAGATACTTTTGCTTTTGAAGAAGTAACTTTCCACAGGCTTATTCTTGAACTGAGCTGGAGGGTTTTCTGGTTTCCTCCAGAGTATAAGGCCGACTGAAGAATTTGAGGGTCAAAACAAGTCCATCAAATCTAGAGTACGTTCCACCCTGCTGATATGGGATACTTTTTGCTTTTTGACAGAGTAATGGATGTATCGGCACGTGTGCTGTTACGCTTGTCTCCACATGCTTCCTTGTATCCTTCGCACTTGCCCTATCTGTTCCTCAAGCAGATGCGGAATCTTCCCTGGAAACATAAGATGATGAAGATGAGTACTCGAGAGCAATGCCAGGTAAGTAATCAGGTAAGGGGTTCCAGGCAGTCAGTTCCTGGCTGGAAGCTTGATTCCAAGTACTGACTGATTGCTTTCTTTCTCCTTGTCTTGCAGGTAAAAACAAGGCCAAAAGAAAAAACAGGGAAAAAGCATGATATGGGATACTCTTGCTTTTAACCCTGATGATATGAGATATTCTTGCTCTAGTATAGCTTGTTTGCAGAGGTATTATCGGGGGAAAGAAAGCTGAATATTTCGAAAGGCTTTGTTGGGAGTGCCCTCTCAGATATGATGAAGGGTTGAGCATTTTTGCAGGTCTGCCTGTCCGTTGGGGATGGAGGTCGACATATATAGGAGTCTCCCTAACAACAAGTAGTAATGCTATTCCTTTACCCTGCTTGGTCATTGCACGGTAGTGGGAGCTGCCAGTTTCACATGTTTTAACTCTGTCAGAGCACTTTGAAAAAGTGGTCTGTGGTATCTGGCTCTCGAGATTCGGAGAACGATGCCTCTTCGATTTTTGAGAAAGCAATCATGCTGGGGGTCTGACTCTCGAGATTCGGAGAGCAGTGTCTCTTCGATTTTTGAGGAAGTAATCATGTTGGGAGTCTGGCTCTCGAGATTCGGAAGGCAGTGCCTCTTCGATTTTGGAGCAAGCAATCTTGTTGGGAGTGTTGTCTCGAATGTGAGTAAAGGTTGGACATGTTTGCTAGTCTACCTTGCCATGAAGCACAAAGGTTGACACACAGGGACTTTCCAATTATCCAGCAATGGTACTGTTCCTTTACCCTCTCTTCGATTTTGAGAAAGTAGTCATGTTGGGAGTCTGGCTCTCGAGATTCGGAGGACGGTGCCTCTTCGATTTTGGAGCAAGCAATCTTGTTAGGACTGTTTTCTCGAATGTGAGTAAAGGTTGGGCATGTTTGCTAGTCTACCTTGCCACGAAGCACAGAGGTTGACACACAGGGACTTTCCAATTATCCAGCAGTGGTACTGTTCCTTTACCCTTGTGGGTAATAATATGGTAGCTAGACCTTCAAAATTTATGTGTCTAAACTTTGTTAGTGCTGTTTCTTTGCTATTCTTTTACCTTTCTTGGTCAGAGCGATGTAGTGGGAGCTGCAAGCTTCACGTGCTCAACTTTGGCAGAGAAACTTTGGCAAAGTGATCTGTGGTACCCATGAGTTATTGTTGCGTGTGGGAAGTGGGTGATTGAACAGTAAGATTCATGTGCTTTCTACTTCACCAGAAGTCTTCGACAAAATGCCCATAATTTCTGCAAAGCTGAGTGTGCGTGTGACAGGTGCTGACAAGGCTAGAAAAGTAGGTGCCCTCTTCGATTTCTGAGATCGGCCCTCGTGGTCTCTGAGCAGCCCAGCTTTTGAGAAAGCGAGCGCCTCTTCGATTGATTCAGAGAACGGTGCCTCACCGATTTTTGAGAAAGCAATCATGCTGGGGGTCTGGCTCTCGAGATTCGAGGAGCAGTGTCTCTTCGATTTTTGAGAAAGTAATCATGTTGGGAGAGTGGCTCTCGAGATTCGGAGGGTGGTGCCTCTTCGATTTTGGAGCAAGCAATCTTGTTGGGAGTGTTTTCTCGAATGTGAGTAAAGGTTGGGCATGTTTGCTAGTCTACCTTGCCACGAAGCACAGAGGTTGACACACAGGGACTTTCCAATTATCCAGCAATGGTACTGTTCCTTTACCATCTCTTCGATTTTTAAGAAAGTAGTCATGTTGGGAGTCTGGCTCTTTAGATTCGGAGGACGGTGCCTCTTCGATTTTGGAGCAAGCAATCTTATTGGGAGTGTTTTCTCGAATGTGAGTAAAGGTTGGGCATGTTTGCTAGTCTACCTTGCCACGAAGCACAGAGGTTGACATACATGGACTTTCCAATTATCCAGCAGTGGTACTGTTCCTTTACCCTTGTGGGTAATAATATGGTAGCTAGACCTTCAAAATTTATGGGTCTAAACTTTGTTAGTGCTGTTTCTTTGCTATTTTTTTACCCTTCTTGGTCAGAGCGATGTAGTGGGAGCTACAAGCTTCACGTGCTCAACTTTGGCAGAGAACTTTGGCAAAGTTATCTGTGGTACCCATGAGCTATTGTTGCGTGTGGGAAGTGGGTGATTGAACAGTAAGATTCATGTGTTTTCTACTTCCCCAGAAGTCTTTGACAGAATGCCCATAATTTCCGCAAAGCTGAGTGTGCGTGTGACAGGTGCTGACAAGGCTGGAAAAGTAGGTGCCTCTTCGATTTCTGAGATCGGCCCTCGTGGTCTCTAGGGAGCCCAGCTTTTGAGAAAGCGAGCGCCTCTTCGATTTCTGAGATCGGCCTTCGTGGTCTTTGAGCAGCCAAGCCCAACTTTTGAAAGCAAACGGCTCTTCGATTTCTGAGATTAACCCTCGTGATCTCTAAGCAGCCCAACTTTTGAGAAAGCAAACGCCTCTTCGATTTCTGAGCAGGCGCCTCTTTGATTTCTGAAGCTCCGTCGAGTGCAGATTTTTATAGAGGCTGGCATTAAGTTCCAAAGCACACTTGAATCTCCACCAGTAGAAGCTTCATTCTTGCACTTCTAATATCTTGATTTGTCCGACCTCTTCTCTCTTCAACACCTTTGAAAATGTCTGGCCCTCCGACCGTCGTTTTGACTTGAACCTTGTTGAAGAGGCAGCCCCGCCTTCTCCAGACAACATATGGCGCCCATCCTTCGTCTCCCCAACTGGTCCTCTTACCGTTGGGGATTCCGTGATGAAGAATGATATGACCGCTGCGGTGGTGGCTAGGAACCTTCTCACTCCCAAAGATAACAGACTACTTTCCAAACGGTCTGATGAGTTAGCTGTTAAGGATTCGCTGGCTCTCAGTGTTCAGTGTGCAGGTTCTGTGTCTAATATGGCCCAACGCCTATTTGCTCGAACCCGCCAAGTTGAATCATTGGCGGCTGAAGTGATGAGTCTCAAACAGGAGATTAGAGGGCTCAAGCATGAGAATAAACAGTTGCACCGGCTCGCACATGACTATGCTACAAACATGAAGAGGAAGCTTGACCAGATGAAGGAAACTGATGGTCAGGTTTTACTTGATCATCAGAGATTTGTGGGTTTGTTCCAAAGGCATTTATTGCCTTCGTCTTCTGGGGCTGTACCGCGTAATGAAGCTCCAAATGATCAACCTCTGATGCCTCCTCCTCCTAGGGTTCTGTCCA